CGCAAGGAGATTGGAATTACGCAAAAAGTGTCACGAACTAGGTCCGCACGGGGCATCGTCCGGACGGTTTGGATGCCACGTCCGGACTTTGGACCCCAACGGAAAAAGTTACACGCCCTAACGCTTCCGTTTGCAATTGGAAACATGCTCAAGAGCAATAATAGAACTTTGTGATGTTAACGGACATTCTAGATATGAAGGAGCTTGAGAAATGAAGCTCGGTACAGTTTAGAGAATAGAATATTCGAAAGTTGATGTGCAACAAACGTTTTGGAGATTGTTCGAAAGTCGTACTAAGATACATAAGAGCCCCAACAAACGATTGATTAGAAGAGAATCCTCACTTAGCAACAACCAGCGATAGATTTACACGGCAGTGACTATCATAACGGATGGTATATGAATACTGAAATTCAGCTCTTCCTTGCTCTCTTGTATCTGCCTCCTCTACCGTGCCCCCCAGTGCAAGCGCTGCTGGCCCTGGACAGAGAATGGGGTCCGTTGAAGCACAACCTATCAAGTGTGATGTGCGATGAGTGGGCGACAGAGGATGCATATGCGGACTGCGATCCACAAGGCATGGTTACTTCCCTGTGAGTTCTTTCCAGCGGAGAGGATGGAAGTGATCATGGGGAGAGGGGGATAGAGATGGGCAGTGCATGCGGTGCGTCCATTAGGGATTTTTCAACCGAGGGAACACTGCAAGGGAAAAGTGGCCTTGCCATGGACATGCTGGGAAGATTGCGGGCTGAACTTGCATGCCTTTTGTGTGACACAGTGAAGGAACTGAAGAAACTAATGCAATTATGCCACTAGTGTGAATGGGAGTGAGCGTGTATGTGTGTGTGTGTTTGCACTCGCGCACACACGTTCGCGCCCGTGCGTGCGTGTTTCAGTCAGTTATCCAACTACCGAGATTCATACTCATTCAATGGCGTCCCACTTCATGTGCTTTCCTGCTGCTATGCACTTCTTTACGTAAATTTGCATGTGTGCCACCCCAGTTACCTCATGGGCGCGGCTCTCAATGGAAGTCACTTGTGCAGCATTAGTCGCCTCACTGCACTCACAAAATTGTACCTACCCCCCCTTCTTCCTAAACCTCGTAATTCTCCTTTTCCACCTCTTTGCTTCGGTGCACATCGCTTACTATTTATTTTGAATGTTCATTCGTGCTATTTGTGCTTTGAGCTTTCTCCACCTCCCAACTGTTGCTGCTCTTTGTTCGCACCGCACCAAACAGCTTGTTGCATGAGCACCCCTTTCCCCACCTCCTTTGCCTACCTCTGCACGGCCCCCATCTTGCAGCACCATTGGAATACCTCCGATTGATGCCTTGATGATTGGTGCATCTTACTATGTACCAACAGAGTAAGAGCCTGATGGAGATGTTGGGACTCCTGCTACCTGCCTGGCTCTGCGAGAATGGTGCATGCTGCTGTGCATGATGTGTGGAAATTGCCATTTAGGTGTTTGAGCTGCTGTGCACGATGTGTCAAGCTGCAACCTTGTCACATGGGACAGTCTGTGTGTGGCTACAGAAGACTGGATTGTGTGTGGGCAGGCGTTTGGTGGCATCTGTGAGTGCATCTCAAGAATCTTATTAGGCAGAGTGCAACCTACCACTTTAGGAACCGTTATGCAACTTCCATCATTCGATCTTACTCCACTCACTTACCTATCCCTCCTTCCAAAAACCTTCCCCCTCTCCTCGTCCTCCTAGACACAGACAGTTGGTCGGGCCGGTATGCTCGAGCCAAGCCCAGTAACATATCAATTTGGTTCAATTCAAATTTTGGGTCGAAAGCTTTTCTGTCAACCTGACTGGGAGTGCAAGGGTAGACCCAAGGTCGGGTCAAGTCGATTCGACCTCATCGTGCCGCATGTACCTCCTTCACTATAAACCACTCTAAAACCAACACTCTTTCCCCTTACACTGCACGGCTCCCAATGTGCACGACCATTGAGCCTCACGCCTTTGCCTACGCTCCTGATCCATATGTTGATCCTGTTAACCCTCCTGACTTCTCTCCTGATCCATACCCTGTGTATTACCCAGTAGAGTGAGATGAATGGGCACATTGGGGGCTCGATCTTGTTGCCTGTTGGTGCAAGTATGGTGCATGCCGTGGTGCATGGTGCATGGTGTGTGCATGCAAGATACTTGCAACAGGTGTATCAGCATGGCATCGGTGGCTAGAGAAAAACAGTATTTTGAGTGGGCAGGTGTTTGGTTGTTCATGTGATGTTTGTGATGCTATTACTTGCTAATGCGGAACGAAGCACCTTGTTTAGTGCATTACGAAGCACCTTGTGAAGGAAACAGTGTAGCAGGGCAGCTCATATGACAGTGTAATCAGTGTGGTACAAGCTGCTCCATTCACACGCATCAGTGCCTCATTCTCCAACCTTCTCAATCTCATGTGCTCACTTATCAATGCACCCACGCTCTACCCCTGCTGCAACCACTGCTGCTGCAGTGACCTATCACGCTGCTTCAAACGCAAACCACAGAAAGCTAATCATGCTACTCCATATCCCTCTCCCCTACTGTCTGTCTCTCTTGCAGCATCATTTCCGTGACTCAGTCAGCCATGCGCCCCCCTGTGATGCAAGGCTCCATGAAAGACCTCTCGTGTCTCGCCCCACTTACTCGCCTCCAGATACTGTAAGCTCCACGTCATCGCTACCCCCCTTCCCCTCCCCTCTCATTCATCCCTGCCTATCTTCCCCTCTTGCTTTGCCAGTGCTAGTTTCTCTTCAATGCTCGACAGTCAATTCAGCAGCATCACTCATGGAGTCAAGAACTCCTGCTAACCGCAGCACCCATCTAAGCGGCTTTTGAGCCGACTCAAAAGTCATATCATTCATGGAATTAATGAGTGTTCCTAGTCATTTCTCGATGGAATCAAGTCCTCTTGCAGCTGCAGAACATCCACCCATTCCATTCCAAATGTCTTTGCTCGTGAGGGTTACGGTTTAGGCTAAAGCCCGTGCATCTTCCTCTAGGCCTCACTCACTCGCCCTCTCTCTCTCTCTGCTTCTCAGCTCTCAAGTCAAGTGTCAACTCCACCATTGTCTTCCATCATCCTCCCTCGTGCTCCTCCGTCTTTCATGCTCACTTCTCCACAAATCCCTTGCGAATCTCAACCTGACGGCTGGAGATCTTCCTTCCTCCCTCTCTGCACTTACTTCACTCAGGCATCTGTAAGTCCCTTGATCTTCTTCCCTGCTCCTTGAGCGCATGCCTTGTATTGGTCGGTCCCATGTTTTATGCATCCGGTTGGTAGCCACCAAAACAAAATCATTAGGGTAATGTTCTTTCCTGGATCTGTCCTGAATAATGATATCGCTGTCATATATGACGTTCTCTAGGTTGAACTCATCACATCTCATTTCCGTATCATTGCAACACAGGCGATATCAGCCACCACCATTCATCCCTCTTAGGTACTCCCGTAAGAACAAACATGCTTCTATTTCAAGGGTGCATAGGGCCTAATAACGAACCACCAGACCTCCCCAGCGTTGAATCGGCAGGGCTCAGCAGGAGCATAGGGGTGTGCTCAGCAGGAGCATAGGGGTTTGCTCGGCCTCACTCTCTCCCCCCTCTTTTCTTCCCTCTCTTGCAGTGACCTAAGCTTCCTTCGCATCACCCGATTACCGCATTGGATCACTTCACTGTCCTGGCTCGCCTATTTGTGAGTGGAACCCCACGCAGCCCCGACTATCATCAGCCCTTTCTGGCGTTCCTTGCAACTCGTTCAATAGAGGCCAGTGCACGTCCGTTCGGTGGGATCCGACTCCTTTCCCCCCCTGCACCGCCTGTGACTCACTACAGTCTTGGCACTTGCGCATTCACTCTCTGCTTGCGTTACTCGCTGCTGAAAGGGGCCTTGCCAAGGCTTTCTAAACTTGGTCAACCTTGTCCTTGACTCATTTGTGCTGCCTCCTTTCGAATGCAATCCTCATGCTTCCCTCTTGCATTCCTCATGTTTCCCTCTTGCATTCCTCATGTTTCCCTCTTGCATTCCTCATGTTTCCCTCTTGCATTCCTCATGCTTCCCTCTCGCATTCCTCATGTTTCCCTCTTGCATTCCTCATGTTTCCCTCTTTCATTCCTCATGCTTCCCTCTTGCATTCCTCATGCTTCCCTCATACTTCCATTATGCTTCCCTTCTACTTCCCTTTTGCTTCTTTATGCTTCCCTTATGCTTCCCTTATGCTTCCCTCATGCTTCCCTTTATGCTTCCCTTTTGCTTCCCTTATGCTTCCCTTACGCTTCCCCTATGTTTTCTTTTATGCTTCCCTCAAGCTTCCCTCATGCGTCCCTCGGGCCAAGAGAATACCACGATGGCTAGAGGGAAGGACGATGGGTAGAGGGAAGCATGATGGCTAGAGGGAGGCACGATGGATAGAGGGTTCTATTCAAAGTGTATGCTAGTGCCACTTGTACCGCTTTCCCTATACCGTTCAACTATAATTCTCCGTGCCTCTCCCCCACCCTCCTCCTGCCTTTGACCACCCTGCAGGGACGTCACCGGCAACTTGGATGTCCACCGCAATGCACCGTTCCCCACCGAATGGATGGCGCTCACAGGGCTGGCCGTTTTGTGAGTGAGCCATCCACCCAGTCAAGTCAAATGCACACTGTTCTGCGGTTTGGCACCTTGAGCCGCGCAGATGACATGACATTCTGTTGTTACATTCTCCCATTGCTAATCAACCCCACTGCCTTGTGTTGAAGTCAACCTTCAGTCTCAACCTTTGTATCTATACTTTCTTTTTCTTAGTTTTGTGTAAATGTAGTTTTTGTGGGTTGGGTGTTACAGAAACATCACAACCCTACCCAAATGCAATCATCCGAAAACTCAGCCCACCCAATTGAAATTTCACCCAGTCTCATGGGGGAGTGCCCCTGATTTGCTACCCACCCACCGTTTGCCCATTACGGATGTACTTAAGAGCCTTGAGCCCATTACCTAATGTATGGATCTAATCTAATCCCGAGTTCTTGCACCCAGACCACCTGCCACCAGTGCGTGCGCCTCTCCTCTCGCCCCTGCCCTCCCTGCCCTCCCTCCTCCAGGCGGGCCGGTCTGAATGGCTTTACTGGCTCTATCCCCTCCACCATCTCCGCCCTCACCGCCATCTCTAACCTGTATGCTCCCAGCTCTTATCTTACCTTTGTCTCCTCCTCCTCCTCCTCCTCCTCCTCCTCCTCCTCCTCCTCCCTCCTCCTCCTCCTCCTCCTCCTCCTCCCCCTCCTCCTCCTCCTCTCTCCTCCTCCTCCTTCCACAATCTCCCATATGAGATGCCGAGGTTGTAGAAAAGGGAAGATAAGACCAGCTGATACACAAAAGCACCAGGTTGGGAGCACCAGGTTGGGAGCACCAGGTTGGGAGCACCAGGTTGGGAGCAGCAGGTTGGGAGCACCAGGTTGGGAGCACCAGGTTGGGAGCACCAGAGTCTGAGGGCAAGTTGGCAAAGGGATTGCTCACAAAGCGTTTGTAAAAGGGTTTCATGATGTGAATGCGGTTCATTGTGTGAAGTGAGGACTGTTCATCCTATGAAGGCAGTTCCTCCTGTGGTCGTTTCCACAAAACAGCACCAAACCTTCCCACCTCCATGCAATGGCCCCACCAGTGAGCTCTATCTCAACAACCTCTCAGGGAGCATCCCTGCTGGCATCCGGAACCTCGCTTCCCTGACACATCTGTAAGGACTTTCAGTTTCAGCCCATTCATCGTGCCAAGAAATATCACCGGCGTTGATACAAATGCTCTCCAGCAAACTCAATGGCGCTAGTTTGTACAAAGAAGCCGCATTGCACAGAACTTCCATAGTAGACGCATAATTCACATCCCTGCTTTGGCTTACCTCCCCACACATATCTGTCTGCCTCCACAAAACACAGTGGGCTCTCCTACAACAATCTCACCGGCGCCGTTCCACCCCTCACTGACGTACCCTTACACACTATGTGAGTCTCCGAGGCCTGGCGCGCTTTGCGCGCGGATAGCGATACAAGTGGCTTGGATTGCATTGCAACGCAACTCCATGTTGCACCTTGCATGCCCAGTGTTGTCAGCCAAAGAAAATCAGGTGGTGGGATATTGCAGGAGCACCCCAAGCGATTTTCCTTCTCAAGTCTCCTTTCATCTCTCTGAGTGGGAGCTTTTCATCTCCTTTCACCCCGAGAGATTTTCCAGCTATAGCTTTGGCACAATATGGGTGTGTTTTGTTGAACTCAGAATAATATAACGCTCTGCATGTGTGTATGTGTGTGGGGTGGGGGGGGGGGGGGGGCGCGTGCGCACACGCACGTGCGTGCCACGATATAACGCTTATTCCTTCTCCCCTCCCATACACCACCCTTTCATGACAATGCCCGCAGCTCGCTGTGTCTTCACAGCCTTCCCTCGTGTCTCATTCTGAGGCTGCTCCAAACCGTCCCTCTGGCATGTGACACTCGAGCACTCTAGCCCTACTATAGCCCCTCCCCTAAGCGTGCATGCCTCCCCTCCGCCTTCCCTCACTACCTGCCCTCACTACCTGCCCTCACTGCGTGCAGAGACCTCTCTCACAATCATCTCACCACCATGCCTCCTGACATCAGTGCCTCGCATATGTAAGTACAGGGTGATTTAGATCACACGCACATGATGGAGAGGAAGGGAAACAGGAGGAGGGCAGGCAGGGGAAGGGCCATACGTGACCTCACCATTCTTCTTGCGACAGCCTTTATCATGGCCTGGAAGGTTACAATTTTGCCATGGCCTGGAAGGTTACAATTTTGCCATGGCCTGGAAGGTTACAATTTTGCCATGACCTGGAAGGTTACAATTTTGCCATGGCCTGGAAGGTTACAATTTTGCCATGGCCTGGAAGGTTACAATTTTGCCATGGCCTGGAAGGTTACAATTTTGCCATGGCCTGGAAGGTTACAATTTTGCCATGGCCTGGAAGGCGGCGTTCACAGCGCACAAGAAAGCAAGCAGCCGTCTGAATCGAATCAAAAGTGCAGGATCGCACCTTTTCTCCTGGCAACAATCTTGCCATGGCCTGTAAGGCGGGGTTCACATTCATAGTGCACAAGGAAGCAAGCAGCCTTAGCTCGCAGGTAGGCATGCCTCTTGACTCCATCCACCCTCCATCCAACACCAGATGCTAGCATGGTTTTTGTTGTTGCCCTAGCGGCTGCAGACCTAATTACCAACGCCTCGCCAATAAACTGGGAGGAAAGTTGTCAAATCTGATACAAGCTGTTTAATGACGCTTATAAGTCTGTACCGAGTGCTGAAACCGAGAACTGATGTTCGATTGAATCTGCTGTGATGCAAGCCAACCAAGTGCTACCTCACACCGCTCAATGCAGTGTTGGATTCACGTTGAGCTTCCGATTCGTTTTGGATTGGATTGGTGCAGCTTTTGCATCTTCCTCATCAACTCTCTTATTACCATCTCCTCTTCTCTTCACTTCCCTCCTCTCACCTCTTCTCACTTTCTCACCTTCTCCTTGATAGGAACATATTCTTCACGCCTTAATATTCAGGCTCTCAATTCAGTTTCAGCAATGGCATGCAGTGAAAGGAGGTTGACATCTTTTTCTTTTTTTTTTAGGTGCCTCTAGCATAGCCACTCATGGCATTCAAGGAAAGCTGGTTGACATCGCTTATAGGCAAGGTTCAAAAATACGGTTTTCGTAAATTACGGTCCGTTTTTTAAGGTCCGTTTTTTACAATAAATTTTCAAAAATAAGGCGTTTTTTTGTTAGAGAACGGTTGTCACCAAGAAAAAAAAGGCAAAAACAAGGTCGGATACATTTTCAATCATGCTCACACACGCATGCATGCAAGGAGGGATTCGTCCTCTTCATCCTGGTGCTTTTCGCCATCAATTTGGTCCCATAAAATGGCCGTTTTTTTCTTCAAGCGAAAATCACCTTCTGGAACCGTTTTTTACCGTTTTTTACGGCCGCTTTTTCCGGTAAATAAATTAAAAAAAACGACGTTTTTTTTTTTAACCTTGCTTATAGGCATCATGCAGCTCAAATGCATCCTCCCCCCTCGCCCCCTTTCAGCAATCTGAGCCACAACGACCTTAAGGGATCCGTGCCCGCCTATGGCTTCATCGACATCTTGAGTAGCATGTGAGACGTGCCGCTCCCTTCACGCCACATTTGCTACCCAAGTGTGGGAGGCACATGTGAAAGGCTTTGGGAGGCGACGGGAGTGTTGGGGGCGGAGTGCGCAGACATGCTCAATGCTTTGTGAAGGAACTTCGGTGGAGTCGGTTGGCTGTGTAACGGAAGTCAAGGACGGATGGAAACATGAAAAGGATCCCCAGTAGCATCATGCGTTGGAGTTTTGGGAGATCACATTTAGTTAGGGTTGGGATATTGTTGCCTTCTCTTGCATGCACATGATCTTCTCTATATATGGCTCTCGCATCACATGCTGCCCACATCATCGTTTACAACCATGGCACATGCACAACATCCGACGGGTTGCAGTAACAACGACGACTCGTCTTCCCCTCTTTCCATCCATTGCACGGCGTGCCTGTACTTGCACTCAATTGCTGTGCCGTCATCACCAATGCTTGCTTGCCATGCTTGCTAACCATCTCTCATGCCCCCCACAGGGACCTCAGCTACAATCCTCTTAATGGAGGCTTGGATGGGCTCTTCGTAGACTACTCAGTGGCTGAAGTGGATTCACTGTGAGTGACACAGAGTATTGATAGAGTGCGCACTCATAGAGTACCATTTCATTGTGCATTTGATAAAGCAACAGTGGTTGCATCTGATGTTGTACTTCTCAGTTTAGAGATTACAGTGATCCCTCCCTCCCACTCCTCTCACGTCTTAACCTGGAAGAACTTAGTCTCTTCTCCCCATCAAGTCAGTTAGACCTTCCTGACCTCTACCATCAAGTCATCTCCCCATTCCTCCCATTCGAGTAAACCTCCCCAACCCCTTCCTCCCCCCTACCCCCCATCCCCATCTCCCCTCCCTCTTTACTCTTCCACTCGTATTTCATCCACCAAACCTCTCCTTTTAGGAATTTCGCATCATGCAACTTCTCAGGCCCCTTTCCATCGTTGGCCGATATAAGAATTAGAAACATGTAAGTATCTTATGAACCTGTAAGCGACTCATAAGTCTCAGCATCACTCATTTCATGCAATGCTTACACCATTGGAGTATACGGGAGTGCAACACTGCCTATTGCATCCAATATTTGCTTTAGGTTCAGAATTTTCTCAATCAACAGTATCACCTCATTCCTTAATCTCCCCTCTTTCCTTCTACATTCCTTCATTCATTACGCCCTCCAACCCTCCATTCTCTCTCATCGCACTGTCTGCATACATCACTGTCCACCTTCCCTTACGGTCCACTTCTTGTTGTTCCTCCTCCACAGTGACGTGTCGAACAACAGCTTCAATGGACCCTTTCCCTATGTTCTCCTGAATGTGAAAGCATTCGACTATATAACAAACATGTAACACATTCCAGATCATGTCACGCATTTGACGTTTCTCCCTATCATTCAGCTCTGCATTCTTGTAACACTTGCCCGGCCATACCCTCCATTGCTTCAAGCCATACCCTCCATTGCTTCAAGCCATACCCTCCATCGCTTCAAGCCATACCCTCCATTGCTTCAAGCCATACCCTCCATTGCTTCAAGCCATACCCTCCATTGCTTCAAGCCATACCCTCCATTGCTTCAAGCCATACCCTCCATTGCTTCAAGCCATACCCTCCATTGCTTCAAGCCATACCCTCCATTGCTTCAAGCCATACCCTCCATTGCTTCAAGCCATACCCTCCATTGCTTCAAGCCATACCCTCCATTGCTTCAAGCCATACCCTCCATTGCTTCAAGTCATACCCTTCATTGCTTCAAGCCATACCCTCCATTGCATCCAAGACAATCCACACCCATCACTGCGTGCAGCAACCTCGCACACAACAACTTCACGGGACCTTTTCCATCAGATATTTATGGCATGTACATGCTGAAAAATCTGTAAGGGTTTTATCACCATCCTTTTATTCCCAGTCTACTTCATGGTTCATTGTTCGTTCCATATCTAACGAGGTGACTTTTGAGTCGACTCAAAAGTCAACTTCGTAATACGCTGTTTGTTCCATAGCTAACGAACCATCCTCCTCTAATGCCTACACCAATTCCTCGCCAATGCCGTTCACTTGTGCCACCAGGAACATTTCCCACAACCGCTTTTCTGGCGTTGTTCCAGTTGACACTTGGGCTTTGCCCCCTCTGAGGTCCCTGTGAGTGCGGCCCTTCACCTGTCAGATCGTTTCTTTCATTAAGCGAATCGTAAGGAGCGACTCATGAAGGCAAGGTGAGCTCAAGACATGAGCACGTGGTGATGCTCATGTAGTGCTTCTCTCCACAAGGTCTCCTGAAGTAGGAGAAGGGTAACTTACGATAGAGAGAATGTTACATAGGATGCATATGTGTCTGAGGGAACTGGTAAACAGGTAGCTTAATAGGAGCTAGAGAGCATGCACACCAAGTGGAGATTTTGATGGAAACCGTGGTTAAAACGGCCGCAAGACTGTTGCTTGACCAACCAACTTACTTGCTGGCAATGGTGCAAATGGTGGCAGTTGTGAGTGGATCTAGGAACCACAGCTGCTTGTGTTTGACGAGCCACCAAGAAGGATTGCCTCTAGACATATGTACAACTAAACAGGAATTGATGTGGATTTGCCTAGCAATTTCAACATTGTTCTGGCATCCTGTGCTGTGCCATTCCATACTACCACGCTGTGCCATGCTACCCCATCTGGCATGGAGGAGAGCCGACCATACAAGGGGGATGGTTTGCATGCATCTGACCATGGGATGGTGCATGCTGCAAGGACAAATAGGTGGAATCTCCCACTCCTGCGCTTGGATTATGCAGATGTTTAGTCCATTCGAAACTAAACTTATGCAACGGGATGTACACACGTGCTTTGGAACAAGCCATGGTCCATGGGTTGTTCGATGGCTCACTCCTCAGTGCAACTCGTTGCCTTTTATGCATGTCACCATCTCTCCCCTCCCTTCACCATCACCCATGCGCTCTCTGCAGCTCCATGGCTCACAACCAGTTCGAGGGGCCTCTTCCTACTGACATGGGTTACGTGCGCCTCACTGTTCTGTAAGTGCCTTGAAGTTGCTCCGGAATGGAAGGAGGGACGTGCGTACTTCATTCAAAATGGTTTGCCGCGTCGTCGCCACTTTATTTCTGTCAACACGAAGAAAGCGCTTAGTGCAAACGTGACCTTCCTCGGTCGCATGCACTATGATTCTTTCCCGCATCCCCATCATGTGCCATGGCTATCCAAACAACGAGCTTCAAGGCAATGCATTCTCCGGACCACTACCTGACCTTGCGCATTGGAATCTCACATCTCTTCTTGTGCTGTGAGAATACCACCTTTATTCCAGCCTTCTTGGCTGCTTGTTGATCGTCTAAATGATTGGTCAGGAGCTGGTTAAATTTCTTCATTATGTAGTCGCCAATTTATGAAAGCCACATCTGATCTAGCAGTCACAGGCCTAGGCATCGCATGGCTCGGAGTGCTCAGAAGCCACTAGTCATTATGAGCAGAGTAGCATGTTGCAAAGGACCTTCATTCTTCTCGCCTCCTCTTCCCCTCCACCCATACTCTCTTCCCTCCTTACTCTTCCCACAACCCACCCACCACCGTGCCCCACTAAATCCCCAGCGATGTGAGCGACAACAAGCTCAATGGCTCCCTCCCTGACTCCATCTCCCGCTTTGTGACGCTGCAGCACCTGTGAGCCGCAAACAACCCTCTATAGAACGAGTGAGAGGTGCTGTTATGAAGCAGCGATGGCTCTAAAGGCACGGACGCCGCCTTGGTGCACGATGGTTGCCTTGAGTACAGGCGTTCCTTTAAATCAGGGATTCTTTGAAGCTTTGCTCGAGGCACTTCATCTGGGTTGGCACTGCCCAAATCTGCTGCATTGCAACCTCCCTAGCTTCATCCCTTTCTGAATCCATGGCTCTCTAGCTAACTCCATCTCCCAGTTCGCAGCGTTGCAGCACCTGTGTTGTGCCGCAACAGTCCTCTTTATCAGGAAAGAGGGTGCTGTTAGAGCCACGGACGCTCTTTTGATGCCTCGAAGCTGCAACCGTCTTCTTTATCAGGGAGGTTGCATGGCAGCCTCCCTGACTCCATCTCCTACATTGCAAAGCTGCAGCACCTGTGAGCCGCAATCGGCCCACTTGAGCATGTGGCAGGGCTGCTGCTGTAGAACAGGGATGGCTTTAGAGGCATGAATGCTACCTTCTTGCAAGATTGGTTCCTTGAGCAGGGCGTTTTATTGAATCAGGAATTCTTCAAAGCTTCCCTTGAGCACAATTCAAGTTCTGGAAAATTGGTTGTTGCTGCATTTTATAATGATGAGAAAAACCAATCCACCCTGTTTTCTAGCACGCACATGCTGGCATGGGATGGCATCACATGGTATGGCATAACACGGCATGACATGGCGTGGCATGGTCTGGCATGGCATGGTACTGGACGGAATGTAACTGAATGACGTGGCACGCATGGCATGGGATGCCGTGGCAAGGCACGGCATGGCACGGCATGGCATGGCACGGCATGGCACGGCATGGCACGGCATGGCACGGCATGGCACGGCATGGCATGGCATCACATGACAGGGGCCTTGGAGGCAACAACTTGAGCGGCCCTATACCTGCTAGTTTGGGCAAACTTAAGATGCTAACTTACCTGTGAGTGGCACAACCTGTTCCTGTCTTCAAGCCAAAAGGTGACCGCACTCTCCCAGCATTACTCTTACTACTGCCACCTTTCCTGTTTGCCCTCCACATTGGTGCATCCCGCTGCCTCCTTTCTTGTCACGTGGATTCGTCTTGATTGACTGGCCTCTTTCAGGCTTGCACTGTTCTGTAGCACATGTTACATCATTCAGCTCGGTGTTCCCACGGTATTTGGCACATTTGTGTACAAGATGAGCGATCGCATACAAGATCAATGTAAATTGGCAACACAGTACGAAGCACCAAGTTGGTTAGCCTATTGCACTTCAGTGACAATAAGGTACACCTCGCATAAATGAGTCAGGAATAGTCAGAAGTATAACTTATCATTTTAAATCAACCACGTAGCTGTAGATAAGTGGGTACAATCAGGGCCCAATAATAGGCGTGTATACCGTTTGCAATTAGTTCATCCCTTTTATGATAAATGCAGCTTAAAAATAAAACTTTGGGCACAACATGAACTACACTGACTTTTTCACAGACTTTTTCACGGACTTTTTGCGTCCGTGTGTTTGGGCGAGGTGATTTGTCAGTGTGATTTTGTGTAGTTTCACATGACAATCCAGCTAATGGTAGTTCCCGAGGGAAAGAAACATATGCATTGGTGAGATGGTTATTTTTTAGTTATGTTTCCTTCCCCTCCCCCTCCCACCTACAGGAACATCTCGGGTACGAGGCTGACCTGCCCGGCAGTTGGCAGTAAATGTGTGGTGCAGCAGAGCAACAACTCCAGCTTCTGCCAGCTCTGCTCGTCCTTTTGCTCCTCTTGCACGCCCCGTACATGTAAGTCTAACATGCTGCCTTCACTGCACAAGAGCAAGCATGAGATTGATGCCACACCCTCGGTTCCAAATGAGCCTGCCAGCAATGGCCAGTTGTCGGGGTACGTATGTTATGCAACACATGGTTTAACTCCCCCGTAACTTTATTCGCACCCACATTCCAGTGTCGTCACCCCCAGAAGCCCCAGCATCTGCTGAAGCGCCAGCATCTGCTGAAGCACCAGCTTCGGCTGAAGCACCAGCATCGGCTGAAGCACCAGCATCGGCTGAAGCACCAGCATCGACTGAAGCACCGGCATCGGCTGAAGCACCAACATCGACTGCAGCACCAGCATCGACTGCAGCACCAGCATCGACTGCAGCACCAGCACCTAAGGCACCATCGGCCTCCGGCCCTTGCATGCTCATTGCTGCAGCCATCAACCTCTCTAGTGCTGCTGCTGTTGCCACCCTCTCGTTCCTGATGTTCGAAATGTAATATGTAGTGTTTCCATAAATAGTTTTGTGATTCAGAATATCAGGGTAAAATCCCTTTTCTGTTAGTCTTAAAACGCACTAGCCTAGCTACTAATGGCCTTTCCAACAATAGCAGCACTCTCCTCGGGGTCATCTCCAAGGGTCCTTGGGTGCCTGACTAACGTCAGCCCCTATCCAAGGGTCCGAGTGTGTAGAGAGAGTAGCTTGCAGATTGTTGAAGCAGACGTTCCTTCTAGGCGTTGTCAAAACCTTGAGGACTGGCAACGTCGTTGCAGCAGGCGCGGGAGGAATAATCCACTCAAGTTATATCTTTTAACAAGCAAACACAAACAGATTTATACCTAGCCTAGTCTATTCCAGCCATTCCTATCGTGTTCTACCTCTCCTGTTTCATTTCACGTAGCGCGAGCACATATCAAATTTCCCTCAAATTCCTTTCCTGACCTGGCATGCGTGTCGGCAAAACATTTCGAAATTCGCGTGTCAACAAACTCGACGGTCCCGATCCGAGAAATATTCTTCGCGCCAAATCCGAACGGTTGCGATGAGGCCCGTTCGAAAGTTGGCCGCGAGCAATTTTGAGCTCACGCTTTCAGCGAACTGTGACTTGCCACCCATGCCTCTTTCTCGAGGCGCGAACATCCTTCTGATCCGAAGTGTCAGTGCTGTTCAGAACGGAACGTACTCGAGCGTCTCGTTGGTTTCACCACTAGCACTGAAAATGATTCGCAAGTGGGTAACACTCGCGTTACTCTCCACGTGGCACGAGCAGTTGCTCGCTCGAACACTTGAGCAACTGCCAACTCGATTGCCAGTCAATCCGACCACCCAAAGTGTAGCAACGCGAGCAGCTGCTCTCTTAGTGTTGAACGCTCCGCATGAACAGCAGCCAATCACGGCTGCAGAAACAATAACGCAGTGCGAACAGCTGCTGACTCCCCTCGATCAGCTTGCTGCAGACTCAGAGTCAAACTTCCGTTTTGAACAGAATCCCCTCCCATTGGTCAATGTTCATTTCGCCCCTCCAACTCAGAACACCACGTTTTTATCCGTGCCTTGCTCCTATTGGTCGAAATCAAGAGGCTGAATCGAATTTCGCCTCTCCTACTCAGAACACCACATTCTCCTCTGTGCTTCACTCCGGTTTGTCGAGTCCACACCCAGCCTTCAGAGATTCGCCTTTTGCCCCGGCTGCCATTTATATTTCTTAATAAAAGGCACCAGGTTGACAAGTACAATAAAGAATGTATAAATTATTTATTGTACCCAGCATTTTCTACCCTTACTACAGGCTGTTTTTTATGACTTACCATTTTGCCGGCATTGCAGATGTTTAGTTACCTACCCTTAGTCAGAAAGTATGGCCTTTTTTTTTACACTTGCGGAAACAGGCTACGAGTTTCCCCCCCCCCTAACCGCACAGTGTACGGGAAATATTACACTGATAGCGGATCTGTTGTAGCAAAGATTTTCTGTTGTGTACTACCTAGCTTTATTCTCTATTGACCACAGTTGCCTAAAAGAAATGCGCCACCAAGGCCCGAAATCCACCAATTGGAGACTTCGGCAACATAGCCAACACACACGTGGTAACTGCCAAAGCATATGAGGAAAACATCCTATTTGCCATCCGTTCCTAAAATTGCGGCAGCAATGGAATGGTGTGAAACGTGCTGTGCTGTCCACCACTGCACCTGGCAGTCCAGCGCGCCAATTCACAACCATGCTTGCACTGCGCTTCGAGGGCATCAATCTAGTCGAGGGTCTTTGGGATCGATGATCCCCAAGGAGACCCCATCTTGTTCAACCTTGTGTTTCTGTAACCAAAGGGTCTTTCCTTGTCGAGTTAGAGCGTGTTCGTACGCCAACATATCAGGCCAACCTCGTATCAGGACAGGAAAAACGTGAGAAACTCGTTATAAATTGGAATTTAGTACTTGCGCGCGAAAAAAAAAATGCGAGCGACAAAAAAATGTGTGCGAAAAAGATATGCACGCGAGAAAAAAATGAGCGTGTGAAACCTTTGCAGCGAGCCACATCAGCAAACCACAAATGGGTGTCTTATAATCAGGCTACCATGTTTATAAGAGACACCCGGATAATAGACAACCCCTGTCTACTATTCAACACTGTCTACTATCCGGGCGATGACGGAAATAAACATCAAGTGTTTTGTGCGAGCTTGATATGAGGTTGGCCTGATATGAGGCCGTAGGAATACGCGCTTAGCATCTGCAGGCGTTTATCAATGATGCCTGCCGAACAAGAACTAGAAGCGCAACACATCATCCAAAATGGGCTCTCTGTACTCAATGTTTTACCCAGCCTGTCTCCAAAGTATTGCATCGCTATCGTCTAGGTGCACCGTGAGCCCTCTCATGTGCAGCAACCATTCGAACCACCAAATTGACCAACTGCATTTGAGCCAGACCCCACGCTCGTGCTTGTTCTTGGCGGTGGGGAAAGATTATCCAAGCCTAGCACGGCAACACCGTCAACTGTTAACAGTGAGCCCGTGAAATGACAGCAGGTCGATATCAAGTACATACAGCAGAAGCTATGGGGCTTCCCGCCGGCCCGAAAGGAGGCATTATCGCAACGCACACCTACTTCATGCTAGGAAGTGTATGCAAAAACACTTGCACAAGATCAATACGACATCATGACGCATCTTTAGACGTGGAGTGGTTTGGGAAATTCAAATGGTTGCGTCTTCACCACATGAAAAACGGTAGGTCTTCGTTGAAATGTGCATTGTGTGTTAAAAATGGAGATCCAATGGCCCACAAACTACGGCATGGGGGGTTGAGGGCGGCGGAGACTTGCGAATTGGAAGCATCCGCCCTCACACCTCTACCCAAGCACACAAGGGGGCATTGAAATTCGAGGCAGATGAGGGGGCGACCAAGGCAAAGCAGGTAAGGCTCACGCGCTGGCAGACGACGGACGCGCCCACACGTCACATAATTTGCATTCTACACATTGTGCTGTTCGTCTGCAAGGCGGATACACCGATCGCAATGTTTGTGCCGCTCTGCTGGTTCCTTGCTAAGGAGGGTCTTCACTTGAGGGCAGCTACGTTGAGTATTACACAAAGTAAGTTCTTGTTGGTGTTCAGTATTTTTATTTGATGACGGTTACTAATCGTAATTCCTTTGATACGGACGTGCAGTTACAGATTCAAGAAAAAACTATGTGCCATCTTTTCTTACCTACAAGAAACACAACGGTTGCATCTGTTGGAGTTTCCGTAGATCGGAATCTCCATCAACGAGAGTACTGACTGCATTCATGGGAAGCACTTCATCCTCTACGCAAGCTTCTTCAAGGGAAACGCGGCTGTAAACAAGTTCCTTGCCTTGATCACCATCGACCGTATTGACGCGGCCTCTGTCAACTCTGTTGTTGTGCAGTGTCTCATGGGGATTGGGGTGGATTTGCAGAAAATCGCAGGAATTTTGACGAACGGGGCTAATGTGATGATTGTGAAGAACGATGACGCCATCGCAAGGCTGAGGATGAGGATAGCACACCTCGTTGCAACCCACTACATTGCTCATCGATGAGTGCGATACGTAGCATACTATTTGGTTTCCAAACACACGTCGAATCTAACATCAGTTGTTGTCCGATGTTTGTCTTGGCAGTGAGGAGGCTCTTACAACACGAGATGCTGCTACTTTTGTCCCAGATTCGGGCATGGTTGATTTTGTCGTCCGTGCCTTTGCTGAGCTCATTGGGACGAGCAGCGTGCAATACTAGAAGTTCTACAACGTCCAGTGAGTCTTTTGTCAAACAAATCCCAAGGTGCAAGGTATCCACGCTATATGCTGGCCGTCGCGAGCTGAGGTCGTACAAATGCCTGCTTGAAGTCTTACCTGTAGCTATTGTGCTGCTGAAGGAGCAAAGGGAAGAATTGTACAAGGTGGTGACCTCTTTTACGTTTCATTTCCGTCTCAGTTTCCTTTCGGGTGTTTTGTGAGAGATGAACAACCTGAATCAACGCTTTTAGCAACGGCAGGTAAGGGGGATTGGTGGCTGCCTGTTGTATTTACAATGTGGTTATTCCCATGTTTCATTGAACTGACAATTGTTGTTGCCGTGGTGCATATCGGCATAGCATTGGTGGCGCATGTCGTGCTACAAACGAGGAGGTGCCTGAAAGCACGGTACTTCAACACCATCCAGGTCACCTTTTTGGCAATGGGGAGAAGATGCAACTGCATGACTTAATCAAGAACCATGCATCGATGTGTGTTGAACAATGTGGATACTGAAGGGAATTTAATGTCATTCGTCTTCCAACGGCCAAGAAACGGATGGGGACATTACAGCGTGCTACGAACTGTCCCTGAAATTCGTTCGGGCTGTCGACAAGGAGATGGAGTGGCAGATGCACGACCTGGACGCCCTCGAATGATCTAAGTTGTTTCACACTACTTTGTACCTTCCAGACGATGAGAAGTGGCTTGCAGCTTTTAGATGGTGGCTCTCACAATTGCACAAGCTGTACCACGGAAAGCTCCAATGTTTGAGTCTCCGGAAGTTCTCCCGAGCAGTGTTTACGTGCCTTGTGTTTATAGCTACACTTTCTCTTTGACGTGGTTTAAAAATATATTGCTGGATTAATGGTCCCCCTTCCTCTCGTTTCGCTTGGGCCAGCTCCAAAACAAGTTTCAACACTGTCGATGCCATTCCCCTCTTCCCTTCTCAGTTCAAGCTAATGTCTTCATTTGCACCCATTTCCTTCTCCTTTCTCCCCCCCCCCCTCCTTCCCCCATTCCCGTAATTCTCCACCTCCCTTCCCTTCCACCACTCCACACCACACCGCACCCCACCCAAATCAGGCGTTGGACGAGGTGATAGAGACCAACCACGGCGTGTCACTGGGCCTGAGCTCCTCCATCTTCACACGCAGCCCCGAAATCATC